GTGGTAAAGTAACTCAAAATGATAGAATTTTAATTTTTTTTTTTTTGGTAATAGTTGCAAGATTATAGTGACTGAACACCGTTTGTTATTTTTAAAAGTGTTTACTAAAAAGTTTTTAAAGTGAAAAAAATCGGACTCGATATTTATTAAGCTGAATCATGAAAGAAAATTACAATTTATAAACTGTTTTCGGCATTTAATTAACTATAGTTGTAAACCTGTTATGATATTTAAACACGCTTCAAAAAAATATTCATAATAATTTCTCATTTTGTAGAATTTGAATAAGTAAAATTAATTAAATTTTACAATTCCGGTACCAAAAAGCAAATGGTACCACATATAAAACCAAGGTCAAATATATAAAATATGTAATCCAATGAGGTATTATTAATAATAGACATGTTATGTAAAGCGATGTCCACCAATTTCGTGAAAATTAAAACTTCTAACAAACATACAATTAGTAATTACACCGTTCGTAATAATATAACGTTATTAATATAATTGATATTAAAATATTTGATGTTTAATTTTGGAAAGTATATTGTACAAAATAGAAAACAGTTTTAAAATAAAATAAAATTATTCATCACTTGTAAATGTACTGAGGATATTTATACATTATTTTATTTATTATACTAATTACTGATTTACGAAATATAAATTCCATGTTAGTTAAAATGCTGGTAAAAACATTTTAATTATCTATGTAATGTCTTACAAATAATAACTTACAAATATGTGTTTAAACTTTAAAGTAGATATAGGAGTAATTAATACATGTACTTAACTATTTAGAAGTATATTTTTCATAAATATATCTTATTTTGTATTCATATTAAATACAGTGTATTATATTTTGTAATAATTACGAGTATTACTGTACATTTTTATAATAAGTTTACTTAATAGTTTAATATTTTAATGAACTATAGTTATAAAAATACAATAATTCAAGAACCTGATTATTTATTAATCAAATAATTGATTAATTTATTTCCACTTCATAAGATTCAACTTAAATAAATATATTTAATAATACTCATTTAACCTTAATATTAACGGGTCATTTATTGGAAAAAAAAAATATATTGATTAAAGATTTAAAATATGTAATGTATCATTTTAATATATATTATTTACATATTTTTTTACAGTATTTATCGAAAATTTTTGTGTACTTTAGAATTAAACTGACGTCCGTTAAAGAAAACAAAATTAATATTATTAAGATAAAATTCCGGATAAATATGTGAACCATTGCCAATTTTAATTTAGTTTGAATTATATTAACTAGCCACTGGTATATTAAAACAAAATAAACCTTTTTCGAAATAAATATAAGCATGACAATTGTAGCTTCTGATTTCTACTAATCTAAAATTATAATAGTATTATGTTTTTCATACATATAATAAAATTTCAAATATATATATATATATATATATCGATAGATAAATTATAATACATTTTAACTTTCAAGTAAATTTTACTGCATATATATGTAAAAGAGGGTAAAAACATTAAGTTATAACGAAAAGAAGTTTGTTGGGGTAAATTTAGTTAATTCCTATTCAATACGATTTAAACAGCTATGTACTCCCCAATTTATAACAGGACGTAAAAAAGAAATACTTAGGCATATTTGATATTTATTTGTTTTGAACTATATACCTTAATAGCTTGATCGGTCAACAGTATCGTCTAGTTAATCTTGAATTCCTGAATTCCAAATGCCGGACATTAAAAATAGTTGTTTTCGTCTAAATTAATGGATTGTAATAGGGAATGTAATGCCCGAACGCCAACTAGAGTAATGATAGGGAAGGGATAGAGGGTTGGCCATCAACCAAAAATATTTTATAAAATATAAGCTACAAATGAATTTTTTGTTAGTATATTCACAAGTTCTATAACATTTTTAGTAATATATAGAAATATTAGTATTTAGTATAAGTTAACCAGTTCTTGTAATAAACTTAATTTTTAAATGTGATATCGTAGGTAGACAAAATATTTTATAAACACAGAATTTAAATTTTAAAAGAAAGAGAACCAATACGTTACATTTTTAACCATCAATATTTGTAAAAGTGAGTTGTTAACACGCACAGTGTATATATACTGACAAACACAATATAATTGGCCCTATCCAGAGTCTATCATCTATCAACAACAACGGTTTAATGATTATTGTACCTACCTATAATAATATGCGCAAGTACACAAAGAAAATTACTTTTAGAAGATCCGTCAAGATATTAGAGAAATTACATTTAATTTTTAAATACTTACCTACACAGAAATTTGTGCAAGGAAAAATACATTAAATAAAAAACCAGTAAAATGCATCAATAAGGAGTGCTTTACGACACGGGTAACGCGCGATCTATGTGTATAATTTAAAGTAATACAGTATGTATTGCATATAATAATTCTATTCCTATAATTTTAACATAGAATCTAAATATTTCGAGAATTTACTTACCTAAAATACAAATTGAATCTAATTGATATTTATTGAGGTAATTGTTTTTCTTTTGGATAAAAACAATTTTAACATAGTAGTATCTATAAGTAATGAGTTATATAATTTCTGAGAATACTTGAAAGCTGCGATGTATTGATTTTATACAAGTATCTTATTTAACTGAATATGTATAATGTATAAGAACTTAAAAAAATTTAGGAAGGAATTGATACAAATTTTGTATTGTTCTTAATGTTATAAGTAAATGTGCTATGTGCTATTACTTCAGTGTATTCTTCAACATTTCTATTTAAGACAACGACTGATACTTTAAATGTTATGTTTTTGGATATTTTTTTATCTAAATAGTAAAAAAAAGCATCTATGTACCTTACTTAACTTTACATAGATCACTTACTATAAGGAAAAGAAATTAAGAAATAAAATAATATTAATGCATGGAAATCGATTTCAAATTTTTGATTAATACTAATAATATACATTTTTAATATTTTGTATACCTCAGTCTTGTAAGTTGTAAGCTCGGCTGTAAGTCAAGGACATAATACCTAATATATTACTGATAACTAATAATGTACCGATAATTACCTACCTAAATTAGTTTAATCTTAGGACAAAGTTCACTTTGCAAACAATCAGATTTCAGACTCTAAAATTAAACATTAATATCAATAAATGAATTAATTCCTTGAGGTAGACCTTATAACAGATAATTATTATACCTAAAATAATATACATAAATTATAATTTATATTTAAAATGAACAAATAGGAAATTATTTGAAATCACACATGCATAAAATTAATGCATATCAATATCAAATGTATTAAGCTGTAGCAACCGAAATGCATTTAAAATAAATTTGAACGATATTATTTATGTTCAACCTATTTTAATCTCTTACAACGGGTAAGTCGAGAGGTAAGTGAATAAGGTCTCTAAAAGTTCATTCTTTGGACCTACTTACAAAAGTTGATCTGAATATGTCATGGTTAAAGTTTAATGACAAATATGTATGATTTCATAATATGTTGATTCTAATTACAAATTAAGTACCTATGATAAATTCAACATTTACCCGTTTTTTCGTTACATCAACACATAAATTTAAACAGAGAATGACTTTTAATTAATTAATATTTTTTTTTTATAGTTGAAGTTATTATACTAAACTAGGTACATACAGCACATCTTAAAACAAATGTTCATTTTCAAAAATTCATGTTGACTCATTATGTTCAAATAACTAATTAATTAGATAAAATACTTTTCAAAACATCTTTATACGTGTCTTATTACCGTATATGAGTTTGACTAAGGTAAGTATCAAAAATATCGTAAAATAAAAAAATAATATTCTAGCGATTATACATGAATAATAATTAATATCATCCTCACAGGATGCAGTATGAACACATTTTAAATTTCTAAAATACAAATTTATAACTATTTTAGTATTAGAGATACCTAAACTATCGTTTTTATATTGAGATAGTATTAGATAAGTGATTTAAGTTTATTAGGTTTAGGTATTTATCACACGTGTTTAAAATTAACACACAATAAATTAGACAATCGTGTACATAATGAGTTTTAGTTTTTACATAAATCGTTATCTAAATAATAGGCAAATAGTATTTTTTTCATATTATAGTAAACTCGAATTATTGATTTTAGGTACCTACATAGCTACAGTTTAAATAATCTACTGTTCCCCATGGTTCTAACATGCACGATATTGTACCTCTTGGTCGTAACATCGATTCAAATATTCCTTAATTAACTGTTAATTGTTAAAATTGATAGTTGATACAGTATTTAGTCAGCAGTCACAATAACAAAACGATAGTTTGTCGGACTGGGAATCAAAAAATATTATGAACTGTCGTACCGATCACACAGAGCAAGCTAACCAACGATTTGGAATCGACCGAGACAATAGTTGACAATCATTACTGTTGGGTCAATGGTCAATAAAATAAATTATAATATACATATTATATTATTAATAATTATTGTAAAGGTACGGTTTATTATTATATTTAAACGAAAATAATAACACAATGTGCCGGCAATTATAAAATAGTGAGTAATGAGTAATGACAATATAATTTAGTCGTGTGCGGACGTTGCCGTCTACTAGTGGCAGTCAATGGTGGTGGTAGTGGCGGCAGTGGCAGTTGGATACGGTTTGATTTAGAACGCATGCTTAAAAAAAACCGGCTTATCACGCAATCGCTTATCAGCGATTTACAACAGCGATCGACGGCGATGACTACCTACTGCTACCTATTATAGCGGCTCATTACAAATAGTGATTGTCGACGACAGTCAAGACCGTTTGGACGATGGTCATTTTAATAATCATAATAATAATAAAAAGCATCATCTAGACATCATTACGTCAACAACTCCTTTGTCACCACTAGTATAACAACTAAACGATACCGATCGCCAACAACTTTAAATTAATCGAAAACCGTTTAGAAAAATTTAAAACACTCACCACTTCACGTCTTTTCAGCCACCGTCCACAGGGGCTCTCCTCCAGGATTTCGCTTTCCTCTTCCGAATCGTCACCGCTCTCCAGCGAAGTCTTCTTGACCGCGACGGCTGTTGCTGCTGCTACCGCGGCAGCCGTCGGGTCCGGTCCACGGCCACTGGCCGGCATCGCTCAGCAAGCTTAATCTGCCGCCGCGACCGTGACTGTTGTTCTCACTCCACGCACAACCGTAACAGTTACAGCGGTCACACCCGGACGAATATAGGAGTTCGGCGGCGGCATTACCGTCGTTGTTCGGCTGACGCGCGATCGATACGTGGCCAAGTGCAGTGGACGTTCGATGGATGGGCAGCAGAACCACAACTGTATTAATTTGGCAGACTCTTACCGTATCCTAGAAGATTGTTGGGTGGATAGAGATTTTCCGAGGGATTTACCACTACTGTGGGCCACACCAATCGACCGACTGCATCGTATTTTCACTACAGAGGCGCGATTGAACCCGCTACAATGCGGCAAATCAAAACGGGGGAAGGGAGGGAAACGAAAAAAGTGAATTTTGTCGGCGCGCACTGGATAAACGCACTAGCGCATACACTCCTCGAGCGATATAAAATAATAATAGTAATAATAATAACTATAATATTATAGATAGTATACGATTTTAACGCAGTACGCGCGCGCGCAAAACGAACAAACCACCAGCAGGCGCGCACACACAGTTGGACAACAGCTTGCAGTAAAATATATGTATATCCATCAGATTTAAAACTTTAGAGCAGACGGGGGCGCGCGCGCACAAAACGCAAATGCGGTGCGGCGTGCGAATAAACTGTGACAACGGGCCGGACGCAAATGATCTACTGACGGAAGTACACGACACGTCAGGACGGCTAGCGGAAAAACGCGATAGCGAGACGACCGAGACTGACGAATACGATGCATCTGCGCCGCTGCTGAACATCGGTGTCGGCGGTGACGGCGGCAACGGCCGAACGATAGACGACCGAACACGAACCAGCCCTCGTTCCCTCCACTCACCGCACGATACGTACAACGTAATCATGCCGTCGCCGTGTGGGCGTTCTCTGTGCAGATAACGATTATCGTCATAACCGTGTAGTCGCCACGCCGAGGAGCGCCTTATCACAAAATAATTTAAATTTCGTGTTCCATAATCAGCTGTTAAGTTATCACCACCACCGACCGTTCCGCTGAGCTACCGCCTACGACCACGGTAGCTATTCTCTGGTTGTGCCTGTACTACCGCGGTTTCATTGCGAATTACATCAAAGACATTTACGTATAGACAATTCAAGTCACCGCACAGAGATGGCGCTAAACATTCCTCCTGGACTGGTATAATATTGTATTTTTATAATACTACTGCGGATTATGTATCATAATATTTCGATTTTAACTCTTAAGAGTTTAGATTATGTGCAAGGTATATCATATTATCATAGAAACCCAAAGATTTATTATTAATCATTACTCGGATCTTAGATTGTACGTTCTCAATAAAATGTATTTGATATAACACCCTAACATAATTTTTTGCAGCTCATCAGCTGTAACCACTTCTTGGGTAAGTCTACATTTACTTTGAAATTATAATCTAAAAAAAATAAACTATTTAATTAACAAATAACGTCAAATAATTATATACATAAATATAATGCATAGGTATATAATTTTATAGATTTCTACAGAAGAAAAGAGCAGTAATAATGTATAGGCAATATTTTTATCAAAATATTTAAACAACAAAATAATATATCACATAAAATAAGTATTTGTATTTATGTTTCCAATTGGTTTTCAACAAAATATAATTTATTTGTTGACAATTATAATTTGAAAAAACAGTCGTGGGAACTTGAATTTTTCATTAAGACTATTCTTCTTATTAGCATTTTAAAATAAATAGTGTTAGGTACATAATTTTCAAAATATTTTGAATTTTCTATGATATTATATATTATACATTTATATTTATATTTTATTTTTTTACTTAAAAATTTAAAATAAAGTAGTAGGTATAAGGTTAGGTAATGAAATTTATTGCAGTGATTAATTTATAAAATATTTGTCCTTTATATTTAAGAGTTAAAAATATAATTAAGTGAGTCTAAATTATTCTTATCTATAATCTATTGTAATTTGATATATAATATAACTAGCTGTTCCTATGTAATGTTGCCCAAAACAAATTAAATGCTTACGGATTTACTTCTTCTTAAACTCCAATAAACTCAAACTGCATAGACTCGTATTTATATTTAAGATGTATTGATTAAATACAAAATACAGATAAAATTTAATTTAATTCTCATGACTATTTTATTTTTTGTAACTAATGACTACAATATATAAATAAATAAAATAATAGATTTTCGTGAGTCGACTATATTATTCATCATATTTATGAATATTGATAAGTAAAAAGTAATACAATATAGATAATATTAATTTAATTTATAAATATATTATATGAATTTATTAACAATAATTTTTTTTAAATCAGTCGAAAACTGTGAATTTTCATAGGGGTTGTCCGTTTAAGGCCTTTGATTTAACATAGTAGATTTACCCTATCTTAAAATCAGTTAAATTTAAAATACACTTAATTTTAATATATTCATTTAGATTGTTTTAAGAAAATTTAAAATACAGATCAAGTTACATCTAAATATCCAATCATAATAATGATTTTATTTCGCTAATCATTTGCAATTCTGTACAAACCAAAATATTTTATTTCTGTTACCGAAACATTATATCTGTTTGAGTTAATCTTTAAAATGCTAATTTTTTTTTTAATCCCTTTTTACTGCATATCTGGAGCATTAGAGAAACCATTTTTCTATTTAAAGTTAATATGTTTTATCTTTTTTGAGAAGTAATAATCAGTTAAATATTTGACTTTTATTTAGGAGCATACATTTATTAAAATATTTAACAAAATATAATTGTATACATTTGTATTCACCCGTTCGTTATTTATAACCCTTTGTCTTGACTATTTTTTTATAATTTAGTTATGATCTTCTATGATGAAGATTGGTTATATAAGTAAATTGTAATTTGTAACTAATGAAATGATTTTTAAAACTATCATAAATGCGCACCCGTATAATTTGCTCAGATTGTGACATGATGGTTTAATAAACATAATATACAATATATACCTAAAAAAATGTATATAATAACGACATATATATTAGTCATATTATATTATATTATGATAATATTACGTTATATTATAAACTATAATAGTATTTTATAAAAAAAGTATAAAAATATAATATTAAATCTACTTACCAAAATATTACTAATAACTCAGCTGACTTACCTTTGACATCATACATTTATTGTTTATGTTGTAAGTTTTTGAGTTGTGATTGTATTACTTGAAAAAAAAGCGAATCATTAATTTATACAAATTTTATATTTGTGTACACGACAATAACAATAATGCATCGCAAGTAAGGACAACAAATAAAAGTTACTGAATAAATAAATAGCTTAATGCCTTTAATTTCGTCTTTTAATTACCAGAGGAGTTTTTTAAAAACTAAAATAGGAAAATTAAATTACTTTAACCAATTACGAGTATAATAACTATTATTTGATCATATTATTTTAGACTTAAAGTTTTTATTTACTTACTTGAAGTTTTGATTAGCTTTCGAAAAAATATATACCTCTATAAATACTTGTTAAGTTTTAAACTAGAACTATTTATTTTATAGTTATGAAAACGGAACTGCAACTCTTTTAAGTTGTTTTTATTGATGAAAAATTAAGATCACGTAGCAAAAGTAAGTATTCTCTTAGTGGAAAAATATCATAACTTTTTTTTTTTTTTAACAGGAAACGTTATTCAGAATAATACGTGGTTTTTATTTATTCCCTTACAATTGCCATTTAACAAATGCTATTTTTCACTAACAAAACGTACCTGTATAGTGTATAAAAAGAGTACACATAATTTGACGTTTTTCTTTCACATGCATTAAAATAATAAAATATAAATGTTTTATATTATATTTAAAGTATGAATACTAAAAATATTGACAACATTTTTTATAACAATTCTTTTTGGCAAAAAGATAAAACGTCTAGGACAAGTGCTTTCTTAATAATATAATCATATAATTTTATATGATTTCATATAAGTACCTTTATAGTAAAATTTATTGAATTTTTTTTTTATATAATGCAAAATAATTTTAAATTTTAATATTTATATAGTTATAAAATAATAAAGGTTAATCTAGTTTTTTATAACTATATAAATAGAATTATAAATAGAATATAATGTAGAAAATTACACATGAACTTATATATATGTAGTTATAATTTGTATGTTATACAGATAACAAAAAATATGAAGTCAAAACAATAATTCTAACAATACGCAATCCAGCAATATTTCAGTTTGATCTGAACTTTTTTTCTTTTATTAAATTGTGTTCTTATAGGTATTGAAAACTACATTCACATTTAAAAATCAAAGTATTTTTACTTTTTCTGAAAAAAAAAAACCAAGTCATTATAAAATCAATAAATTTAGTGCTCCGCTCAAAATCTAAAAAGTAGGTTCTTATTTAAAAAGAAAAAGCTAATATTATCTTAAAACCACTATTTGAATTAATTAAATTTTTAATAAATGCATTATTAATTGATAATGAAAAAGTTAAACATAATTGAGGATTCGTCTTATATGTATAGTATAGTTTAAATCAAATTTTTATGGTAGTACATTCTTCATTTATAGTAGCTATACAAAATCTGTCAAAAGTTACTGAATACCTATATATCGAACTAAACTGTTATCAAAACCGATATTTACATCACTATGTAGGGGATTACAATAAATTGATTCAATTAAGATGTCATTTGTATTTACTTTAATAAAATTGTTACTATCAGTATGCTTAATGGGTTCAACATTCCGTTAAAATATTTATTTTGATAGTCATTTAAAATCACTTTTACATTTATGCTAGTGAAGTTAGAACAAATAATACTTTGTTTTAATATGTCATGATAAATTAAATTATAGTACTTTAACAACTACCATTTTTAAAAACAACTTCACTTCAATGTAAAAATAATAACTTTAACCTTTAAACTATTTATAGTTATTACTTTTTATTTTATTAAAAATTTTTATTTTCTTATTTGTTGATTATAAAAACTAAGATTAACTATTTAAATTTTAAATAGAATCTCTAATTCAATGGATTCTGCGCAGAAAACAAAACAATTAATACTCCAAAGACAATGATGTGTATCATTAGTTTTATAGTATAATAATATGTTATAATATATTATAAACAATAAAATTGTTCTGATTATAACGTTATATACTAAGAAAATTTACTTTATCTTCTGAATAATACTAACATAATAATTGATTAAAGATTAAATCAATCAGTATAATAATAATTTTTTTTAAGGACGAAGGTTATTATTTATTATGTTATTTTAAATTTAGGTAAATATTGTGGTATAACATAATTTTAACCTAAAATTTTTTTACAAAGTATTATAAGTACATAATTTTTGTCTAATAGTTGGGATTTAATATTATATTTAAATTATATAACCTATTATTTTATTTTTTTATTAGTGTTCAAAATATTATAGTCAGTATCTATTATCTAAAATTTAATATTTTATTGTATATTGGTTGTGTTATGACAAAGTTTTCGATTTATGTAAATTCACTGTTAATTTAATGTCCCTAAAATAATGTAATAATACTATTATGATTTATAATAATATTATTAATATTATACGAATTTAAAAATTGTTTACTCATATTAACAAGCATGTAGGAGATGTATGAAACCTGTACTATATTTGTTCAGGCGCACATAGACATTGCAACTTGTTAAGATTTATAATTATAATTTATAATAGTAATAATAAA